CTCACTTTCGCCACTTTCGTTTAGGAACATTTTAAAAGAGTTTCGAAGGAGAGATATGAAGAGGCTCCCAGTGTGATTGAAGGAGTGATAGAGAGAGTGAGTTGTTCCTCCTCCTCTCTTTTCTCCACCTCTTCTTCCTCCTCCTCCTTTTCCACTGCCTCATCCAATTTTTAATGCGAAAATAGTAATATTTTCATTAACACCCATGCATCTTTTTCTGTTTCCCATCTTTGTAGACCCCACGGATGTTAGGTGTGATTCATCCTGTAAATGTGATAGGCCTAGAACCAATTGTTACTGTGACCAAGACTGCACCTTTTTCGGCGACTGCTGCAAAGACATTGGGTACGTAGATGTCATACATCTAAGACATCAGATTTCTGTACTGTACATAGATAGACTTGCTGCAAAAAATATGGGTTGGAAGCTAGCTTTCCCATCTGTGCGTTTCATGTTCCAATGTACTAATTTCTGGTTGCCCAAGTTCCAAGGCCATGATTTCTGCAAAGCAAAACAAATCCGGTAGAGGGCAATGGAATACAAATCAAAGGTTGGATGCATGGAAGATTTCAAATCAGGCACGCACAAATTTGTTTCGATCTTGTCAAAAGAATGACCATGTTGTTCGGATTGATATTACAGAGAAGTGTGCGACATGAACGGGACAGCTCCATCACCATCTGATCATCAACATCAGAAGTGGGAGTGTCTGCAGGGCTATTACGAGGGAGGATCTTATTGGTTGGTGGCCGACTGCCCTGACGACTGGATGGACAACGTCACAAGAGATCAGTGTTTAAAACAGGCGGATCCCTACAACCTAGGTGACCTGGTCTACCGGATGCCCGTGCACGATACGTCAACAAATATTGAATACAGGAACATATTCTGTGCTTTCTGTAACCATGTAAGTATGGAACAAGTAATTATATGGGAAGCCAAACTTGTATGCACTGGGTTGATTAATTCCCCTGCAAATCCTGTTGGAGTCACACAATTATATGATGAACTCCGAGTTACTAGCCAGAAGGTTGCGGATTGTACTACAGGAACTCTGAAGCTGGAATTCGAGCCTGACCTGCGGCAGGGAAGAGAATGCACTCCTCACGAGGTCGATATGTCGAATGCAAATTGTGATGTAACTGCTTGCACGTCCTACACTGAGAAGTTACGTCTCTACGAACCAAAAATATACAAAAACATCCACTGTGCTCTTTGCGAAGGGCTTTCCCTCATGGCAAGCACACATTTACTTTGTCATACTGAATTAATTAGGAGGTTGCCTGACGGGATCTCATTAACTCATCTGTTCAATTTCAATGCTGATGAGAGTCCCAGGAACAGTCCTAACCATTGCCCTCCCGCCTCTTTTTACGACCCATTTGTCGACTCGTGTCGACCATTCAGCTCGTCTGTAAGCCTCGGGTCATCGAACCAAACCTTCCCTTTACAAAACTGCAGCAGACCCATACTGAACTTCACGTCAGATGAGTTCCAAATCCTTCCCAATGGCAGCGTCCGCCTGTTGAGTTCTAACGTGTCGTGCCCGGCTGAGCAGGTGGTCATTCTGAACACATCAGCTTCAATCTGTGGGGACTGCCTACTGGAGTATTTTTCGAAGGACGCGCGCCAAGCAACCTGGGATGCTAACAAGAGTTGGTTAACCTTGGGTCTTGTGACGGTGTCTGTCGTAGCTGTGACTGGTTTCGTGTTCCACACTTACAGGTCAGGCCAGTGGAAAAAAGTCCCGGAAAAGCTGAAAGTTCAGATGATGACATGCATGGCAGCTTCTGAAGTCCTGTTTGTGGCACGGGGGTTCATCCCTGTCGGGCCGGTCTGTACAGCGTTTGCAGTGCTTCTGCACTACTCTTTCCTGACTGCCTTCTCATCCATGAACGTGCTAGCTGTAGATCTCTTCCTTACATTTCGTCAGGAGTCAGAAAGAGCCGAACCGTACAAGTACGTCTTGTACACCTGGCTGGTGCCGGTACCTATAGTCCTTGCCACAGTGATTGTGGAGTTCGGCAGTTCCGTCAGGGTGGGTTATGGAGAGCACTGTTGGATCGGCAATCCAACAGCCAGTCTGGTGGCATTTGGAATTCCTGTTTTGTGTGCCCTTATGATCAATGGTTTCTTCACCATTTTCGCCTTGCTGGCCATACGGAAGTCCTTTCAGATAGCCAGCACTGCTTTGGAACGTTCGGAGATCAGCAAGATCTGGGTCTACATGCGTATCTCGTTTCTGACTGGATTCACCTGGATTTTCGGCTTCATTTTTCCTTTCGCCAATAGCGAAGTTCTCGAGTACATCTTTATTGTGCTGAACGCTTCTCAGGGCCTTGTGATGACCCTGATGCTGACAATGACGGGAGAGGTGGTGGGGAAATGTAAGTCTGCGATCATGGCTCGCCTTGGTCTGGCTGCAGCCGAGCAGGACAATGGACGAACCGCCACTGCTAGCCACCTGCAGACCACCGGAGGGAAAACTGAGGTAACATCGGCAGGTGGAACCGGCTCTGCTATAGAGATGACAATTATGGCCGATGTAGAGGAGAACAGGGCACGCCATCGTCAGGACAAGGGACGAAACGCAACCGCCAGCAACAAGCCTACCACTGCAGGGCCAGGGGAAACTGACACTGCAGGCAACTTGCAGACCCTCGCAGGTGGAGTTGGGGAGACAGCAAGCGGCACTGAAGTTGCTACTGATGAGATACCCATGAAAACCTTCGTCCATGTGGAAGAAAATAAGGCTCGCGACAAGCGTTCGGCCTGCGCTTCAGATCGAGATGAAAATGAAACTAGTTTTAATTCTTATCATCTCTCATGCCCGTAGCCAGGGGGGGGGGGGGCAGTGGGTTAGGAAGACCCCCACCCACCCACTCACCCATACACACACAAGGCTCAAAGTTCCACTTTTTATCTAAAGGTTCATGATTTTTCTTAAAAAGATGGACTGATTTCTATCACTAGCGGGACTGGAATCATAGACGAACTGCTCACTTTGTCATTGAATAAAAAGTTATGTCTGAGTTTTCCTTTGCAATCATCTCAACAACGTAGGAAATGCCATCTCAGAAGGTTCAATTTTTACAACTTTCCGGGACCCGGACCCCCCTAGAAACATGACAATTGCAATCTACAGGACAATCAACAATTGACTTTCAAAATTAGATAGTCCAAGTTTGTCAATGAATAAACAACTATATTAGTTGGTTGAGCCTTGACGAGACAGGTCTATGCGTTTGCATGTGATTGTAAATACAAAATCCACTTGATAATTCACTCCTTAACCCACCAGCATGACGTCATAGTCACGTGAGTGCAATCACGTTAAAATGTACGTTACAATGACGCCACAGTGACCCTCAACAGTATTTCTTGTGCTACTTTAAAGCTATCATTAACCTCCCATGAGCCTTGTTTTGTGGTGACCTATGAAGTGAATAAAAAAAAAACTACAGAGTAAGTAGGTGACAGAAATTCTAGTAGATGACCAAAAAAAAGGGAATTGTATAGGGCTGATAGTCGTAATAATGAATGGTTTATTTACAAATTACACATCGTACAAAACATACAGTAGCAGCCATTATCGGCTGAAATGATGTATGATTTACATTACATTGTTAAAAAGCTCCACTCAGTGATACTTATGTAACGTAGCATTGGGCAAACAATCACAAGGTAAGGGACAACTGTTAAAATCAGCTAATGTGTAAATAAAGCTGTAAATAATCCACTCTGCCTTCGAAAGCCATCCAAGGAAGTCTGAAAATGGTCTGCGTGAAAGGCAGGGCTGCATCATACATTTGTTATAAGTAGGTAATACTCAAGGTACAGCAATAATTAAACCAGAATAATTACGTCTATAACAAAGAGTTAATTAAGTACATTCGGAGGATGATTCAAAACTATTTCATCATCAATATTGCCTTTTCAGCATGGCCCAGTAAATAAGCATCATATTCATTATGGTGGTGATTAAAATCTTCTATATCAAGAAGCTTTTTTATTCATGTACCAGATACTCTTTAATAGTGCTCTGTTATGTACAATATGGTATAAATAGTGTAGAGTTGTGTATGTGTTCTACATGGCCAACAAAAGTTACCAAGTACAACTTCATGATTCATGAATATGTAATGTACCGTAATATACTGAAGATGTAGATTATTCAATGTTTAATTGCTCAAGCATGTTATCTGATGTGATATACCCTATAGATCATTTACTTTAAAGCAAGATTAAGAAAATCAAGATACTCATATGTGTATCAAGATACTATGTGTACTATCAATGTCACCGCAAGAACATTTATGGATAACATCCTCTACAGTCTCGAAACATTGTAAAATGAATTGAAGCTAAAGAATTATATGATATCATATCCATCGAATCTTTTATTCGTGTATTCAAGATGTGAAAAAAGTGACGCTTGTCTGGTATCACCAACGACATCCAATGCTACCTCACTAGTGTCACTTCTTTAACTACTCTTAATTATTAGATAGCACACTACAGTCACTTCTAAAACCTTCTATTCAGCAAAGCAATAGCAATTCCATAGAAGCCACTTTACAGATCAGTGCCACACAACTTGAAATTTCTATCCCTAAGAATAAAACAATATCATCGTATTGAGACTGGGTACTGTTTTTGTCCCTTTGCATCAGCCCCTTTGCATCAGCTATAATACATGTGCGGTAACGTGTTACATATCTTAGACATTCAAAAAATGATAATTTTAAAAAAGGATGATAGTTTTCTATAGATTTCTCAAACAATAAACCAACGCCTATGCACCATCTTCTTCTTTGTCCATCACCTCATAATTGTCTCATCAAATGCAGCACAAAATTATATCAAGTGTGCATTCTTTTGTCATCATCACCACAAAATTAATAACAAATGTAGCTAACACCTCAAAGTTGCTCTTCAAGCGCCCCTAAGTGTGGCCTCTAAATCTCAAAACACCTTTAAAGAACCTTCACACAGCACTTTCCTTGAAGGCGTAATCAAACAGCTGGCCGGCGCAATCCTCCATGCGCGAAATCAACGCATTCAGGACTTTGGTCGTAATACCATAGGCCAGCGGGGCTGTGACAAGCGCGCCAATCACAGGAAAGATTATATCTACAGTTTGGTCAACAGCAGCGGCAGTTAGCAAACCTAATCCGTTACAGATTGCCTGGACGACAGCCAATGCCTCATTGTCCCCGATAGGACCCCTCGACCCAGCCAACAGGCTGAAAGACAGGAACTGCTTGAGCTCCCCCGGATTCTTCTTGGTCATCATGGCGAGCTGTTCCACCGCGTCTTCTGTAAGGCCAAACCCCTCTTTGTACTCTTTGTACGCGACTGCGAGGGCACCTGTAGCAAAACATGGAACATGTGAGTGCTGCCTTGAAGGTAGGTGCATTTTGTAACCGATAACTGATCACATGAGAAAATGAGAATTGGCACTTATTGTTCAGAATATTTATTCTTTCCTTGATTTCACCTACCTGGAATAGCCGCAGCACCTGCATATGGAACCAAGGAGCCTGCAGTTGCCGCCATAGCAACCTTCCACATATTGCTTCTGTAGATGTCTCCCCTCTCCTTGATTGTGGCCTTGGAGAAGTCCCGGCAGGTGTTGATGACGACCATCCTTTGGAGAGCGCCCAGACTCTCGAACACCGACTTCCGGAACTTGGGGATGTCCCAGGATCCCTTCAGCACGTGGTTGAGACGGCCGCTGATGATGAAGACATCTTTGGGGTTGACTTCGCCCTCCCATCCCACCCTCTTCAGGACTTTGATGTAATCTTGGCGGAGTTCCTCCATCAGGTCGGCCTCGGTCTTGTCGTCGAAGTACTCGGGGTCGTCGTTCTGCTTGTCCGCCAAGTCTTTGTCGAACTGTGACCTGACGAACAGAACCTTCTTCCCCATATCCCGGGCCTTCATTCCGATCTGCACGGCGTTGTGCTGGATGCGGCCGCTGCTGAACACCAGGAACACGTGGCATTGCTCCATCTTCTCCCCGAACTTGGTGAGATACTGTTGGATGTCGAAGTCGCGCTGGTCACCACTCCCTTTCTCCAGGAGAACGCCGGGGAAGTCGACGAAGACAAGGTTGTCCGGGCGTGCTGGGTGGGGGTAGTCGGTGGCTACTTCGGTAGTATGCGTAACGCCGACTTCAGCGGCACCAGGAGCTTTCGGCTTCAGCCCGCGGATGGAGTTGATGAAGGTGCTCTTTCCCGCTCCGGGGTCACCCACGATGCCCACGCACACCTTCTGGTTCTTCCAAGCCTCCATATTTTCTGCAGCGTACGTTTGAATCTTTTTCAGGATCTCAGCTTTCTTCACGCCACCGGCAGTGGCCAGGCTCCTAAACATGCCTTGTTCCTCTTCGTTCATTTGTCCAATGATCTCCCTGTGTATTGGAATGGTGAAATATATGGTGAAATAATGTTATGGTGAAATAATGTTATGGTGAAATAATCCCACCATATACACCTCGGGGCAGGGCATTACCCTTTATATTACCGTATGCTAAGCCACTTCCAAATCCTGGGTTATGTATGTATGTATGTATGCATGCATGTGTGTGTGTGTGTGTGTGTGTGTGTGTGTGTGTGTGTGTGTATTTCTATAGATACCCCTCTAAGACAATGTTATTGCAAATATCTACTCACTCGGGTGGGGTCGCCATCGTCAGTGATTACACGTGTCGTGCCGGGAAAAGGAGCCTAGAAATGCACAAAGTGAACATGTTTAACAAGGTTAAGAACTGCACACATCTTTATACAATACGCTACGCTCACTTGGTGGTTTATTCGGTGGTTAATGCACCTCAGTGGGGATTTTCTCACCATATACACCTCGGGGCGGGGCATTAACCCGTCATCAATAAATGTCTAATGTCACAACATCCATATGTATGGCTAAATAGAAGGCGAAATTTTCATGTTCCTATAAAATTTATACGTACATACAAAATAAAACAATATATCTCATCCATACCATGGTATGGAGTGAAATACAATTGTGCCCCGAGGAAATATAAAAATGACTCAAAGATGGAAGTGACGTAGCCTGACTGAACCTCGCTTTTCGCCGACTCGCAAATCAGTAGGGTGGGCAGCTCCTGGAGCACCGGACAAAGAGCTTCTGTTCACAGGCTAGAGGTGACTTACTTATTTTGCAGAATGCGTAGTACTATGTTGAACTAAAAGACCTTTGAAGTGGAAGGTACTTGACGGTTGAATTTTGTGTACCTTCACAATTTCACGCTTGAAACAACAAAAGGAGTGACGTGTGGTAAACATACTTAGGCCCTTTCCACCGAATTGATTCGCTTTGATCCGGCTTCGATCCGGACAAAAGTGATCCATTCGGCTCGATCCGGACATATTTATCGTAGTGAGAATGAGGCCATTAGCTGTTTTATCTGTCACAAAAATTGCTCTTGACAGGGTCATTTCCATAAGTGGATGCACTCATCTATTATCAACATGCAATATTTTAATGAAAAGGTTGTCACAAATAGCCTTCATAATTACAGGCTGGTGGTTACAATATAAGTAGGGTGAAGCAAAAGAATCTATATCGTGGTACATTGATGTTTTAAAAAACTTGTTAAGCTGAACAGACTGAGCGCAACATTTGTCGTTCTGCACATACAGTACCATCTATATAGCACCCTGCATAGGTACGATTTGGGGGTATTTCTCGTGCAACGCATCACACCGCAGCGAAACGCAACGAATGCGGAAGTAACTATGCCACTGCAGGGCAAAAAAAATTGGGGGGCCTATGATCTAATTAAGACATGAAATTATTGAAAAATATTGTGCCAGGAATGTCAGCAGGACAAGGGTTAACATTTCCCAAACAATGACAAACTCGGTCTCTGGCAGCTAAATTGTCCTCACCAGCGGACAATATAAGGTGAAAGTGAAAGTGAAAGCACACTGGGTACCGTCCAAACCAATTCATATTTGCGACATTTTAAAACATTTCGTACCACAACGAACCGTCTGGACCTTCTGTGAACGACAAGACGTAATCTCGTATTTCTCGTTGTACATTTATGACGCCTTTGAACGTGAAAAATACCAGCTTGTTGAAGCTACTAGTATGTATACGCCAGGTATGTAAAGCGAGGGTCACAACCCGCCGTGCGTGTTTTTTGTCCGTACGTTTTATTTTTAAGTGCTACGGTGTGTCTGCTCACAAATCCGTTGGATTCCGTACGGAGGCGGTACTCACCACTTACGGTGTACGGATCCCAAAATATGCCCACGTTTTTGCACGTAGACAGCACGCAGTTGCACGCACGGCGGGTTGTGACCCTTTAAGGGAGAGCAAACCATAAACTTACTGTGTAGTGTTCACTTCCGTGTCCCCAAAAGACACAGACGTTGGGTAGACAGAAGAAAGCCGTCCGACGTTGAAAAGATCTGACGGAGGAACACTAGTACTGCAGACGTTACGCTTTGTACGCTCGTCTGTAACTGACTGGGCAACGTCTGCTTTTTGGTCATGAGATTGAGTCATGGAAAAACACCTTTCAGTTTCGTACCTAAAATAGCACGGCTGGCCTGACATGACGTCACTTCCTCTTTTGACTGCGATGTTTTCTCATGTTTACGCTCACTTGTTTTCTCGTCTCGTAGCGTCAGGACTAAGGTAGGACGGGTTTAACCTGTTCAAGGTGAGGTGTTGGTGTTCTAGAGTTCTATTTTAACTGTAACGTTAATAATAATCAGTGGTTTCCAAACCGGTAGCTGTTAGCTTTATGTACAGCGCCGTGCCTAGCTAGTAGCAAAGCTAACTGTTGGGCAACAAAGGTTAGATGTGTGTGCGCCCCAGCATAACTATCAGTACGGACACAGTGTAAGAAATGCCAAATAACAGGCATCGCCACAAGGCTACCAGTTGTCGGGCCCGGGGCCCAAATCTTACCTGAGATTAAACTCAAGCTGGCACTTGTCGTGGCTACTGGTTAAATAGGACTGCGGAACCTTCAGTCTCGGTTCAAATATTGACTTAAGACGATATTTAGTCCAATCAATGGTCTGTCAGTACTTTGTGGCCAATAGTATGAGGCTAATGGTATGTGGTCAACAGCATGACTCAAACTACTTTCAAACTTGAATGACGCCCAATCGTTGCTCTTACACCAAAACAGGGTGGAAGATTTCAGTGGATGGAAAAGGTGCACCGTCAAATAAGATCTAGAGTATCAGTACGTATACCCTTCTTAATTGGGGATGAAGAAATCATAGATTGGGGTTACTTAATGGTTAACGCGGATCAATGTCTGATTGATTACATAGTCATGGTGTCACACTGACGAGCTCTTAAATGAAATGTCTTGTATGTCTATGACCCATTTGAAGAAGCGAAAATATCTGTCAAATCAAAGCAACGCCTTGGCTATGTAACGTGCAACAAGCCTTACGTTGTTTACTTTAGTGGCCTCGTCGGTGCTTCAGAGGTGACTGCAAAGAGTAAAAATTAGCCAGATAACGTCCCGGGATAATAAGTCCCCTAATACAGGTTTCAGAGCAGCAAACTGTACTGCTTTAGGGGATTAATGGCATGTTATCTGTCTATTTGGCTAATTTCTGCTCTTTCGGACCGCTCTGAAGCCTGGTAGAGGTATACATGTACTTTAGTACTTCAAAAAAAGATACAGACCTTGGGTAGACAGAGGAAAGTCGTCCTTTGAAATGATCTGACAGGGGATTATTGTCGGCGCTGCACTTTGAATGCTCGATAGCAAACTGGCTGAACAACTGCTTTTTGTTTGCTTTGAGTCACGAGAAACACCTTTGATTTGATTACATAAGATTCGTACCACAAAGAACGCTGCAGACGATGACACAATACCTATTTGTAGGCCACATGCGACACCTTTTTTCACCTTTCCAATTAAGGAGACACGGTGAGATGTTCTTTACAATGTTCATAATGGGTCCCAAGTAGCACCGTTCCGTTTCCGCTAGTGCGTGGCCGTTGCTACGCCACTGGAGCTCAAGGAACAAGGGCCAATTGGGCGTCAAAATGGAGGGGAAATTTCCACAGCCTACTGATGCCATAACAAAATCATTCCATTTCCTTCTAGTCAGATGGGTTCTTGGTGGTCATCAACGTCATCCTCTTCATCATCATCATCATCACCATCATCATCATACCATGAACAATCATGGGAGGAGGCACACGAGTAAGTACTAGTAATTCTGCATGTGCCTGTTTTTTTAAAAGTTTTGTGAAACTAACAAGGAGCTCGGTGATCAGATGTAATTTTTAAAATCTAACCCGACTGACTCACCGTGTAAAATCAGTAGCGATAGGAATTCCCACTCACTAAAGTAAAGTGTGTGAACAAAATGTGTAAGTTACACATTTTGTTCTTTTTAAATAAGCTGTGCTCTTGTCCCACCTCGGACGAAACTTGCCTTGTCTTGTGTAGATCTTTCCGTTAAATAAACCCTTGTCTAATACAGTAACCAGCAGCATTGTTATGATAACAAACTGTGAGTAGCGTCAATATGGAGATGTACATTCCAGTCTCACGGTCAATATAAAGTAACCGCTGATCCGTGCCATGTCACGCTGCAGTTCCAAACCCGTGCCGCAGCGCAGGCGGCCCGGCGAAGTTCGTGTCGGCGTGGTGGGGGACCCGGGTGCGGGGAAGAGCACGTTCATCAACTCGGTCCGCGGGCTGAGGCCCCGGGACCCCGGCGCGGCGCGGGTCGGGCTCACCCACACCACCGCCGAGCCCACAGAGTACCCGCATCCCGACCGACCTGACGACCTGGTGCTCATCGACTTTCCCGGGGTTCTGCTCAGGAGACACGCCGGCAGGTACGGCAGCTATCGTATCCAGTACCGCCGGAATCTGCCTAGTTCTGTATGGCATCCAGAACCGCGCGTTCCTATCTATTTCTATGGTATCTAGAACAGTGCCTATCTAGTTCTGTACGGTATTGAGAACCGTGGTTCGTTCTATTATATGATCTTATATAGTATCCAGAACCATGCCTATCTAGTTCTGTTGTATCCAGAGCCGGGCCTATCTAGTTCTATTATATCCAGAACCGGGCCTATCTAGTTCTGTGCTGAAGGGATTAGGGTTAGGATCAGGCTCTGTTCTGGATAGTCTCCGCGTATCCAAAAACGTAAATTTAATTTGCCCCGGGCACGGTTCTGAACACGCGTAGACTATCCAGAGCATGGTTCTGGATAAAGTTAAAAGTATCATTGAAAGTAAACGCTTGATATTTATGTAATGCCGGAAATGTTGTAGTCCTTGAGAGAACGTTCACAAAATCATTCATTAAATCCCTGCCCTGTCCATCACCCCTAGGTTCGGAGACTTCAACATCGGGCAGTATCTACTGGAGTTCGGGTCCTACATGCAAAGCTGCGACGTGTTCCTGGTGTTCTGCCGGGGCCGCATCCAACACAACCCCGTCAGCATCGCGCTAGCCGCGCACAGGATGGGCAAGAGGGTTCTGTTCGTCAGGTCAAATGTTTGTTGTTGTTGTTGTTGTTGTTCATTGATCACACATTACGAAAAATAGTACATACAACACAAAGTGGTAGCGCACTCAAATACAAAATGTAGCTAAGACTTATTTTAACGGTGCACGCTACCACTTACAAATAATGAGAGGATGAATCAACAAAAACTAATCCAATAGTAAGGAAATACAGATGATAATACAGATGTAACAACACAACGTAATAAAGAACAAAGATGCTGCTGCAAAGCACATGACCAATTTCCCATCGAATGAAAAACGCAGTGAAAAGGTATGACACAATGCAAAATAGGATGGAAAATTTGAGTTTTAGAAGCATTTCGTTGTGGTAATGAATTGTTTAGTAAACGACAAAATGTTTGAATTGGCCAGGTCTCAGTTCGACAAGGACGTGGCGGACAAGGAGAACGACGACCCAGAGTACTTCGACGACAAGTGCTCGGTCCACCTGATGGAGGAGCTCCGACAGGACTACATCCGGGTCCTGCGTGACGTGGGCTGGCCGCGTGACGTCAGCGATGACGAGGTGTTCATCATCAGCGGCAGGCTGGAGTACGTCACGCAGGACATGTGGGACGCGCTCGAGCTGAAAAACGCCATCTTTGGACAGAGAAGATAAAAGAACCGTGCGTTTCGTGGGGTTGTACTTTGTTTTGAAATATGGACTGTCGCACATGTTGACATTGACCGCACATTGGACAATATTTTGTGCCTTTTTGTATCTGTATTGATATCGAAGTAAATAGATTAACGTTGTCTCAATAATCAAGTTACTGACATCAACGTTGTTGTGCAAACTGCAAAGCAGCCATCAACACGCTTTGCTCAGTTTTAGCACAGTTTGTATCAAGGGGTGTACTGTACCAAGTGAGTTAATTGTGAGGGAGCGAAGTCACCCTGCTACTTTATATCTGAAGAAAACTTTTGAATATGATAACTCCTATTCCAACCATTGCTAGCCTGGATACCAAGCCTATCTTAGCTGCCGAGTCTCTTTCATCCTCTGCAAAAAACACGGCAGCTTAAACAGGTTTGGTAACCAGGCTAACCCATTCATTTGTCCACGCGTGGTCTGGATTGACACAAGAGACAAGATCGGTGCAAATGATCTTCTATTCAGCAAAGCAATAGCAATTCCACAGAAGCCACTTCACAGATCAGTGCCACACAAAAATCTTATGCCTAAGAATAAAACAATATCATCGTGTTGAGACTAGGTACTGATTTTGTCCGAAAACTCCTAAAACCACATATTACAGGAATCTAGCTTGATATAATAATCCACATAAAGAAACACAATGACTACAATAACTGTTTTGTAAGGGTATAACAACTCAGTCTCTATCTAGGAATGTAGTGTACTGTAATGTATGCACCTCGATCGAGTAAATAAAGTGCGGAAACCTCACATATCATTGGGTGGAGCATTGTGACGTTTTCAGATTGCTTAATGAAAAGAATCTTTGAATCTAAAAATTATTATCACCTTAACCAGGTATTAACTGCAGCCCTTTGCATCAGCAACGATACATGTGTGGTATGTATCTTAGACATTAGTATGATAGTTTTCTAAATATTTCTCAAACAATAAACCGCCACCATCTTTCTCTTTTTCCTCAAGCTACTAACTTCTCAACTACATCACATGGGCACATTCTTTTGTCATTATTACCACTGAATTTATCAGAAATGTGTAACATTATGTTGCTAACACGTCCGAATCGCTACTCAAGCGCCCGTTAGTGTGGGTTGAAAATATCAAAACACATTAAGGAACCTTCACACGGCACTTTCCTTGAAGGCGTAATCAAACAGCTCGCCGGCGCACTTCTCCAAGCGCGAAATCAATGCATTCAGGACTTTGGTCGTAATACCATAGGCCATCGGGGCTGTGACAAGAGCACCAATCACAGGAACGACAAAATATTCTGCCTGGTCAACAGCAATGGCAGCTAACGTTGTGATGCTTAATCCACTACAAACGGCCTTGACAACAGACGTAGCCTCACTCTCACCGATACCTAACTTTGTGTCGCCCAGGAGCTTGCTAGACAAGAACGTTTTGAGGTCTTCCTGGTTCTTGCCGGTCATCTTGGCGAGCTGTTCCACCGCGTCTTCTGTGAGGCCAAACCCCTCTTTGTACTGGTGGTACGCGACTGCGAGGGCACCTGTAGCAAAACATCGAACTGGTGACTACTGATCTGGTAACAACTGCATTGTGTAACCTAACTGATCACATAGAAAACAATAAAATCATTACAACGGGCGATGTGGGACATGGTATTCGTCACTAGAGTAGGCGATACGCTACTAGGATATCGAAGCTTGGCTTGTTCCTGCTATTTTCTTAGGGCGTCTTCAATAACTTTTATCAGAAATTATTTCAACAATATCTGTATTTCTCCCCAAATCTGCTGACTTTGTAGTCGATTCCAAGAACAAAAGTGTATTACTTTTTGCCCAAGTTTGTGCCGAGTTCATGAAAATACTAAGACCTTCTTTATACGCGATAACGGATTTCCTGTCCCACATAAACATACTTCATGTCCTGGCGCATTTAAACAGGCTTTGGCAAGTGAAGTCACTCGCCGAATCGCCCTGTGGACCAATCATTAAATTGGACCAATGGCATCACTTATGTTGTGGATACCTTTTCGATTATTTCACCTACCTGGAAAAGCCGAAGAACCAACAAATGGAACAAAGGAGCCTTGATCATGACTTGCCACCATAGCAACGAGCCAAACCTTGCTTCTGTACACGTCTCCCCTCTCCTTGATGGTGGCCTTGGAGAAGTCCCGGCAGGTGTTGATGACGACCATCTTTTGGAGAGTGTCCAGAACTTCGATTATCTCCGTTCTGAACCTAGGGATGTCCCACGATCCCTCGAGTACGTTCCTCAGGCGGCCGCTGATGATGAAGACATCTTTGGGGTCCACTTCGCCCTCCCATCCCACCTTCTTCAGAACCTTGACGCAGTCTTGGCGGAGTTCCTCCATCAGGTCGGCCTCGGTCTTGTCTTCGAAGTACTCCTCGTCGTCGTTTTGCTTGTCCGCCAAGTCTTTGTCGAACTGTGACCTGACGAACAGAACCTTCTTCCCCATCTCCCGGGCCTTCATCCCGATCTGCACGGCGTTGTGCTGGATGCGGCCGCTGCTGAACACCAGGAATACGTGGCATTGCTGCATCTTCTCCCCGAACTTGGCCAGGTACTGTTGGATGTCGAAGTCGCGCTGGTCACCACTCCCTTTCTCCAGGAGGACGCCGGGGAAGTCGACGAAGACAAGGTTATCTGGGCGTGCTGGGTGGGGGTAGTCGGTGGCTACCTCTGTAGTGTGCGTAACGCCGACTTCAGCGGCACCAGGAGCTTTCGGCTTCAGCCCGCGGATGGAGTTGATGAAGGTGCTCTTCCCCGCTCCGGGGTCGCCCACGATGCCCACGCGCACCGTCTGATTCTTCCATGTCTCCAAGTTTTCTGCAGCGTACGTTTGAATCTGCTTCAATATGTCAACTTTACTCGCGTCACCGGCAGCGGCCAGTCTCTTCAACATTTCTTGTTCATGGTCGTTTATGTCTCCAAATATCTCCCTGGGAGTTGAGAAAACAAGTCAGGAAACAATACAGTCATTTCGTAAGAGAGATCATATGTAATACACACACGCACATACTTTCATTCATTCATCCATTCATTCATTCATTCATTTATTCATTCATTCATAATGTAGTTGTACATCCTTATCCTTGATTAGGAATGAAAAAAGTATGTGCACGTTTGCAATGATAATACAGTATTTAAATTTACTTTTGTGTTAGATAGTCTGTGCCGGAAGATGATCACGTCATGAAAATGAAATCCTGTCGCTGCTATTCTATTGTATCACAAATTATTTCCTAGAAAAGAAAAAATCTTCCCGGCAACAGAAGGCCCAAAGTCAGCACTAGATAGAGAGGTACTCACTGTGGTTGGCCACCCGTGCGTCTCGCCATCGTTGAGATATTCTTGCTTGTCGTTCTTTGACCTATGAAATATAGGAAAGCAAAACCTGATCAAGATGTTAGCAATCGTTCATTGCAGAATTCACTTTATTAATTATTGCAAGATAGTGTTTCGTTTAAGGCAAGCCCCACAATTATTGGTTGTGCTGTATATATATATATTGAATGAATGAATGAATGAAAGTATGTGCGTGTGTGTATTATGTATGATCTCTCTTACGAAATGACGGTATATTCGCATAGGCTCTGCTCTGTTAATTCTTACTCAAACACATTTACATATATGGTGACAGGAGTCTAAATCCCTCCTACAATAAAATTTCCTTCGGTAAACAACACATTTCATCCATACCATCGTATGGAGTGAAATAATAAAAAAAATGTATAATTTTCAATATTAATGGGGGGATCTGATTACCCTGCCGTGCTAGCCTGGCCTGGTGGACAGACCAGGTAGCCTGGCCTGGTAGGCACCCAGGTTTTTCCGTAAACCCCACCTACGGTATGATATTTATACGCTCACAAACATGATTAGTGACCTCCCGTCAGCAAACATAGCAGAGTTACAGCATTAAACTGGGGGGCTGATGCCGATGTAAGCAAATAATTAGGACAAACCCGGCATCTAGCAGCAATAAACAATATACGACGAAGGCGAAAGTGAAAGGACACTCGGTACGGCCCAAACCGATTCATATTTGCAACATTTTAATAGCAACATTTCACTTATATTTCGTACTATATCGAATCACTGAACCATTTGCAAACGATGGGACAATCGCATAACATATATATGACGCCTTTAAACGAGAAAACTATCAAAGAAATGAAAGCAAGGCTTGTTGTAGCTATATAGAGAGCAAACCTGAATAGTGTCCACTTCCGTACCCCCAAAATACACAGACCGGGTAGACAGAAGAAAATCGTCCGACGTTGGAAGGGTCTGACTAAGGAGTACTGTCGGCGCTGCACTCTGTACCCTCACCTGCAACTGACTGGAAAACTTCTGCTTTTTGTACCTGTTCAGAATGAATGTGGTGAAGAACTACATGCAGACTGCGCAACAAAGGTGTTTGTCGTAAATGAGGATTTGGCCGCATGCCCACAGCTTCTGGTAGGTTGGTAAAACACAGAATAGTATGCAATATATGTATCATAGCTATATAGTCGCCTGGCGATTATCTTAGTAGAACTGTCAGTGCAGAGTACAGAGTAATTACAAACATAAGGTACCCAGTCTTATCGTGGTTGGGGCATAGAAGTTGGGACAGGCTGTGTCTTCGGGGCTGTAATAGTTTCCCCCGGTAGGAGTGTTACACTAACAGAGATGGCACGCTGGGGGAGTTGATTTGCCACACCACGATCGTATTGAGGCTAATCAATCTTCCATCATGAAACACCTAATGTTACCGGGAAACCAAGTTGAAGCGGGCGAGGAAGAGCGCCTGCAGCGCCTAGGAAAACCCACCCTAACCACGATGAGACTGGATACCAGGCTAAGGTATCACAGTGTACATAGTACAGTTATATAACTGTCAAATACCAGGTACCGTTTGCAGGACAAGGATGGCATTCTGCCAATTTCAGCCCCCCTCCCCTCACCTGCGACTTAACACAAGTTGGCTCAAGGACTCTCAATCATGGGCAAACAGGACTACAGGAACCTTTAGCTCAGTTCAAATGGATGCATGACGATGTTCTAATAAAGCAGTGGCCTGCTACAAATGTAGTACTGACAGCTTTGCTGTGTACATGTCTTATATTTCAGCAGTATGACTCATTATATCTTTAGTCAAGCTTGACTAAAGCTCAATCGTTGCTCAAAGTTTACACCAGAACAGGGTGGAAGACTTCAGTGGTTGGAAACGTTACACTGTCAACTAAGAGTATCAACTATCATGAGCTGGGGTTACTTCTAATTAACGGCTATCTCGGATCGATATTTGATCAATATAGTGTTCAACTAAGAAGGCACTGACAAGCTCTTAAGAGCAAATAATTTGTTGTAAAGCTATGGGTCATTTTCACTTTCGCGAACTCGCACTTACACGGTGGAAACTATCCCCGTTACGGTGGATTACGATGGTGAAATTCTTCCCCCATCCACAATTTTATATTCAACATTCAGTGCCACACTACCGCAGAACCAAACACAATACGAGAGAAAATATATATAAGTCAAATCAATACAAAGAGTCTTAGCTGCTATAACGTACAGCAAACCTTTTGTTGTTCTCTTCAGTGCCCAGGAGAACTGTCGACGCTGCACTTTGCACGGTCGGCAACAACTGACTGTATGCTTTCACAGTTGCTAAGGTCAAATCAACAAATGCAAATACGTTCACACAGTTGAATGCCAGGCTTTTACCGTGCTTTCTTTACTTTATCTTGCCGCTTCTACCTCTATGGGGGCGTCGCGGGGAGGTGGAGAAGGCGGTTCTGGGCAAGTCGAGTCGCTTGCTGCGGTGTCAGGCCATGGGCGCTCAGGGTCTCCGTCACACCGTCTATCCAGCGGCGGCGGGGTCTCCCTCTGGCCCTCCGGCCTGACCCTCTGATGTCGTACGATGTTGATGTTGACAAGGTGGCCAAACCACTTGATGCGATGGTGTTCAATGTACTTAACTCTTGAGTACATTTGTGGAGCCAACCATCTCCCACGTTATATATTACTTTATTGTTTTACATATTTATTGTTTTGTTGGTCTCATGCGTCACCCCAGGACTAGGGTAAAGTAGATTTTACCTTTCCAAGGCGACATTATATGTTCTACTGTTCTCTTTCAACGTGTGCAGCATAGTGCAATTGTGCATTTTTAAGCCGCAATATTAGCAAATTTCTCTGAACGATTTTGCCTTTAGGAGTCATGTTATTGTAATTCAAACATTATCATGGTCAAGGTATAGACATTGGCTGCGATACTGTTCGATAAGGGTGTTCCGGACCACCATCTACTTTAATTGCTTCTGCACGCTGCATGTGTCGTTCCAATAGAAATCGCCAGATGGCGCCGCTGCACGGAACCAGGAAGCAGGTAGGTCTGTGCTCGGAGGATGCGGCAGCTCGGTGTTGGTAGCTGGTGTCGGCATCGCGGATTTTAGAGGTTTTCTCCAACGAAAACGCACGCCCCTGCATAGGTGAGGTGCTCACAGCACAGTCTTTTACACTGCATTTCATTTAGACAGATTTCAGCTATTGTATACATTTGTGAGGGGTAAAAAACAGCCATGTATGCAATCGCGAATCGCAAAACTGGGAGGCATGGGGAGGGGGGCAACAATAACAAACAAAGGTCCTCCGGGCTTTTATTATCAGACCCCTGCGTATAATTTTCTGTGCACAGCTGGTGGGAATATTGCAGTGTTTGTCAGATGTCTGCATATGTACAAGTTTCGCGTTTCAGGCACCGGTAGGTGTCACATATTGATCTGATTGATCTGAAACAAAATCATAAATTATTCTTCCTTTGTTTATCAATAATTGTATAATGCATTACAGAAAATTATGGGCTGTTCCTAAAAAATAAAGAAAGGTAGAGGGGCATAAAAGAGAGTGAATTTGATGGTCTGTTTATTTGTTTGCTTGAGCCCTTGTTTATTCATGAAAAACTCGAATTGGCCAGCTGGCCACATAATTTGCATTCAGGTCATTTCTTTAAGGGACAAACAAAATATAACACTAAGATACCGGTTGTATAATAAGCGAAATCCTGACAAATTCACAGCACTCAGCATTTGGGGAAAGATTATGGGAGAATATCACAACACGTCTCTGCTACATGTACCAGTGGACTAGCCCCCTAGCCTGCTGTAGTGATTGCACAACTGTGTGGCCCAAGGGCTACACAAATGGAGATGTGCACTACCATGCACCATACACAGGTGCGGGAAGGAACTTTGCCTTTTTTTTTACTTTTGGGAGAAACTTAAACCTACCTGGTATGTCTTACATCTCTGAGCAACATTCACCTCTACATACATGTATATCCACCATCACAACAAACTGTTTTTGTAATATGATATTTGTAGTAAAAATAAAATCACTGGTATGTGTCACAAAACATATATATAACGTTAGCTCTGAATATGTGAGTACAGTTTTCTGCCCAACATACCTACATGGTTGGTATCCAGAGTGCCAGAGAATACAGTCATCATATCATTACATATATACTTAACATTACTTCTTAGAACCAACTACTAGTACTTTTATTTTTGTGTGTTGATATTTATAATGATAAGGTTTTCTGTAAATGTAGCAGGAAGAAGTACTTGAACAGCCTTAAGTGTGTTTAAATCCTTCCTAAGTGATCTGGAACCTTCGCGATTGCCGTATCTAGTTCCAAGCCCTCAGCTTACGGGTAACGTGACAAAAACACTCCAGGCAGCAGCAGGGGCATTAAAAGATGATGATGTCGAGCCAAGCATTAGTGCCTCCACTCCAGAATGCAGGGCTCGAAATTCAATTTTGGTAATAGGTGGACCAAACCTAAAAAAAGTTGGGTGCACAATATTTTTTTGGGGTGCACCATATAAAATGAAATAAGTAGAATGTCAGCAAAAACTAATTATGACTCAATTCTAAAGAAAAGTAGACAGTACAAGCCTAGAATGATTTCATTACTTTTCTGAGTCTTAGATTCTAAAAATAAGTTGTATACTATACATTTAACATCTTGATATAACGTTACATACTCTAGTATACCTACAAAAAATATTTGGGTGCACTGGTGCACCCACACAAAAAAATTGGGTGCACAGCTCCAAATTTCGGTGCACTAAAGTGCACATGATGCACCCAGTATTTCCAGCCCTGGTAATGCCTCCACTCCAAAATGTATTTGGTTTCCCCCATGTACACAATGATGATTACATGAGAACTCACACACAGGAAGCCATCGGTGGTGGTAGATTAGCCCTGCCTAATGGCAATTTCCTCCTCTGTAAACAACATAAGCTGGGCCTGCTGAATGATCACACAAGTATTACAGACCCATAAACCGCCGGGGTACAGAGATTATAAGCTAGCAGAGACAAGGGAAGGTGAGTTGTGCTGTTAAGGTTTTTTTAACTTGTCAACGTATTCTACTTCTTAGTAGATCTGATAAACCAGCAAATTTTGTGTAGATAATTTCATTCTAGTGTTTTACATGACATTGTGAATTTGTCTCTTACCGAATTGTTGTCATGTCACAACTCAATTCAGCCATTCTGGCTGCTATGTTTGTGAAAATTTTAAAATACATCATTCATATGATCCATTACTGTTAGTATTAGATACACTAAGGAGTAGAGTAACACTAACAGGATATCCGTAACATCACCTGTATTTGAAAGTGAAAGTAAGTGTAAGGGAAAGTGTTACAGGTGTGTGATACAGGAGACAGTAGTTAGGTAACGTTACACGATCACAGGTGGAACATTTCCCATGAACAGGAATGGTTGACTGCTGAGGCAATGTTGTTAATTCTGGTATTTCCTCTGTTAGTATATAGTAGAGGGGATTCATTCCTCAAGCTAACCGACATCTTGCACACGCAGTCGTCCCTCAGTAAGACACCTGGGGCCGCACAGTTCCCGTTTAGAACTTTTATTCAGCCTGTCAATTTCCTCTGTTAGTGTTATACAATATGTATTCAAGTCTAGAATCTGTACAAGTACATTGCTGGTATGTCCGGTGCCACAGGTACTGTATATATTGGATGAGCTGTTAGTGTTAGTTTAGACTTGAAATATCCCAGCATGTTCAACTATGCCTTTGTGCTGTGTATACATTTCTAAATAGAGTGAAAGCAATAACACCTGTGTAACATACAAATTTTGTAATATTTCAGTATGACGAGTCAGTGTATTAAAGACTTTTGTGGCAGGGTTTTGTCAGGAAACCAAAACCATTGCTATTTATAGCACATGCATTTCTGTAAATCAAGAGCACTGTCTGAAACAGGAATGGCTAAGAACTGCAATGTTCTTCCTCCCCTCAGTGTAAGGTGTATACAGATAGTTTCATCTATTATAGATTACACACATATATATGCCCCCTGAGAGCTGGCCTCCCCATTAAAAGTGGCATGTCCAATCCTGCAGATAACTGTCATTCTGCCAGTAACACTGTAGATTGTTCTACAGTCACGCGGCTCAGAATCATGCACACGTGCCTGTTGAAACGACTTTGAACTGAGATACGTGATGTTATACGTGTTTTTGTGAGCACATAGAGCATGTTGACACAGGCAGCAGGTGTTCTGATGAAAATACAAGTTTGGCAAAAAGATACAATACCGGTACAATAATACATCAAGGAGAAATTATACATACATAATGTCAAAACACAAAATTTTAGACACATTTCGTCACAACACCTGATTTGTGTTATTTTATAGATATCAATTGGAATGTTCATGTAAAAAGTGTATCAATCATTGATATCTGAAGACCTAACAGTTTCTGAGGCTTAGGCCACACCAATTTAATTTCTTGGTTAACGGATTCGCCGCTTCATTTTTTTCTGATTTGCAAATAAAAATAAAAATCCAGAATCAACTGCAAAATGCTCATATTGTGCCCTGAACAGTTGAAAACAGTCCTTTTCATCCTAGTTGTTACAGTTATTCCATCTTGCAATGCAATGGTATCATTAAAAGTTCAAAATTCATTGTTTAAATTTTGAACCAGCCTGGTGTGTTGACTTCATGGCTCCTATCGTACCATTTTGGGCAATAATAGGATGCCTAGGCCTGTTTTTATTTTTATTTTTTTTTCGCCCGCCCGCTCCATTATTTTTCTAGAAAAATCCGTTAACCAAGAAATTAAATTGGTGTGGCCTTAGGTAGGCAGATAACAGCACCTGCGGTATACATGAGGATGTGTGCATTGACTTTGTAAGATGAATTTCTGCATGTCTAACTGTCATCAATGTTCAATGATATTATGTCGTTTGTTTGTTTGTTTGAGATAGGTAAACAGGGATGTTGATGCAGGTGACATTCTGGTGTGCCCAACTGGATCGTTAAAATAGACCATGACATGATGCTTATAAACATCACAGGTAAACAAGCGGAGATGTTCAGATGACAACGCTGGCCTTCAGCATCGTTGTTTATTTATTTCTTTGTTTGTTTATCTAGGTAAACAGCAATGGGAGCCGCTGCCCGTGACCTGCTAGCGGCGCTGCTGGAGGGCGTGTTTGCCAGCGGGGATGTGCAGACGACAACGCTGGCATTCAGCATCGCGTGTTCGCTGGGGTTCTCGGTGGCTTGCCATTTGTTTATTGTTTGTTTGTTTGTTTGTTCCTGCAGGTAAACAGCGATGGGAGCCGCTGCCCGTGACTTGCTAGCCGCGCTGTTGGAGGGCGTGTTCACCAGCGGGGATGTGCAGACGACGACGCTGGCGTTCAGCATCGCGTGCTCGCTGGGCTGTTTGTTTATTTATCTATTTATTTGTTTGTTTATCTAGGTAAACAGCGATGGGTGCCGCTGCCCGTGACCTGCTAGCTGCGCTGTTGGAGGGTGTGTTTGCCAGCGGGGATGTGCAGACGACCACGCTGGCGTTCAGCATCGCGTGCTCGCTGGGCTGTTTGTTTATTTATCTATTTATTTGTTTGTTTGTTTATCTAGGTAAACAGCAATGGGAGCCGCTGCCCGTGACCTTCTCGCGGCCCTACTGGAGGGTGTGTTTGCCAGCGGGGATGTCCAGACGACGACGCTGGCATTCAGCATTGCGTGCTCGCTGGGGTTCTCGGTGGCGTGCCTGCTGCTGGGGCTGGTGTACGGCCGGCAGAGCCCGCGGCCACAGCGCCCGGCTCGCACCAGCAGCTTCAGCAGCAGCCTGGCCGGCGCGGCGTCCGGCAGCAGTAAGAGGATAGTGCTGGTGAGTAGGGACTCCTACTACATGTACTACTCCTAATAATGTTCAGAGAGAACTTCAGAGTTAGATGTTCAAGGGTTAGGTGGAACAAGTCATTCGGTGTGATGTGGCCAGCTGCCTGTGAAGCTGGTATGCACTGAACGGCAGTTATACCAGCTGTATAGATACAGATACAGAAGCTGGTGTCTCATCTGGCATCAGTACGAGAATAGTGCTTCAAATTTTTCATATATATAAGTGTTGACTATAAGCATTCTTTTAGTCCATTATTGATGCTGAAGAAGAGTGATGGATGTTGCTTGTTTGTTCATGTACATGTTTGTAATATTTTTGTATATTGTTTGGTTCAATTTGTATTTTTATGAATGTATGTTTTAATGTATGTGCCCAGGGATACCTGAAAAGCAGATCAATGGATCTGAGGTATTCCCTGGTGAAATAAATAAACTTGAAGCTTGAAACATCTGGAAACACTTGTTTTTCAGACTGCATAATGGTACCAACAATTCTCTTGCTCTTTGAGACAAACTTCCTTGTAGTACTTAAGACCCCTCCTGTGTACATTGCATTTCCTGTTTCCTGTTTAGACGGCACAACCAGTAATGTAATCACTTTACAAGTGACACATCCATACTGAAAGTTACCTCTTGCATAGCAGGTTTTATTTCCATATTAAGAAATTGTCTTGTATTTTGAATGTCATTGTCAATGTCATTGTCATTGTATTTCCTGCTTCCCCCCAGTGTAAGAAGTTGACTTCTGCAGACTGAACACAAACCTGTTTTTTAGACACACACAGCATAACCAGTAATGTGCTTGCTTGACAAGTGACATATCACTCACTCACTCACTCACTCACTCACTCACTCACTCACTCACTCACTCACTCACACACTCACTCACTCACTCACTCACTCACTCACTCACTGTCCAGGATTTGATATTATTCTGCTGCTGTTGTCTCTGTCGACACAACCTTACTGAAAGTTTAATGTACCTGTTACATAGCAGGTTTCCATATTGAGAAATTGTATTTAGAATGTATTTCCTGCCCCCCCCATCAGTGTAAGAAGTCAAGTTCAGCTGAAGGACGGCACCTCCTGCAGCACCAGCCTGTATTCCTCACGTGTCGCGAGCAGAGGAGGGAGCACAGGAAATGCTCCAGGTAACTTTTGCGTCTCCGAATCCTCAATGTAGGCTATTAATAGGCTTAAAACATGTCATTTAGACCTTGTTTTGTGCCTTTGTTTGGTAATTTCTGAACATGACTTGTTTGAGACATACTTCCTGTGTGATCTTCAACAATTGTTACATAACATTTACAAGGAAATTATATATTATATTATATATTAGAGAGAGATAGTGTGATGAAAAATGCTTCATCATTCTTCCATATTGATATTTCCTTCCCTGGTACCAGCATGTACTTTCCTGCACTACTTATGTTACAGCATTCATTAGTGTGAGAGTGTGGAGAGCTCAAAGAGCACGCTAAGGTTTCTCACACCTCCGTATGAGGAGAATCATGTATTTTCATTTCATCTATCTAATTACTCTACAATTGGAGCACCACAGATGATCTCACAACCAGTTTTCTCCATCCTTCTGGTTTTTCTGTTTTTCTTAACAATTCACTCTCTGATATATCATCCTCTCATCTTTTTTGTTGCCTGCCGCTCTTTCTTTCTTCCTCCCAGAACTGTTCCTTGCATGATACATGTGTACTTTTGGCTAGGCCCAATGACTAAGACATCTGCCCATACCACTTCAGTTTCCATACTTTTACTGTCGTTACCGTTAGGAGGTCTTTATATGGACCTGAGCCTTCTTTGGCTCCGTTTCGTCATTTGTTGCTGACTTTTGTTACATCTGATTTTCCCCAGGTGTGATTCAGCAGATGCCACACAGAGCTGCAGGTTAGTGTCTCGTGTCTTTCTTAAGGAGAACCTCAGACCTTGAGAATACGTCTTGTGCATGAAGTGTGCAAGATAATTAATTAGCATACTTAAGATGCGCTGCCCACCATGATTTGATATTTTCTGTGCAGCCAACCCAGCAATTAATCAATCAGAAGCACTGAAGGGAAGTGATCACACCTGCTATACTTTACACAGCAAGTACAGGTGGACAAGCTGTATTTTCCCTTGTATTGGTATGGCTGCCATACTAAGGCTGTATGTTGTACTAGTAAATACTGCATTGTGTGGCATGTTCGGCCAAATTTTCAGATAGAAATGTTGAAATTGTTTTAGGACATGGTCGCATACATCTTACATGCCCGTATCCTGCAAAATTCAGTTGTCTTGTTATGGTGTCTTGCACCCTTATCAGTGGTTGGTTCTGTCACAGCGTCAAGTTTAGTTGAAGTGTTATGTTTTGAAAATGAAACATAACTTCATCCAGTAGTTGACCTTCCCATTGCTGATTTTGTATGATGGTTTTGCAGGTAGAGGGTGTTGCATTGGTCTCTTGGTACTGATGTGTATTTTGCCTGGTACGTTCTGTAGGTACAGAGGATGTCTGTTGCGATGGTACTGATGTGTATGTTGTGTGGTGTACTTTGTAGGTACAGAAGATGTTTGCTGTGTTGCCGTGCGAGTAAACAGTCGATCTGCGATGTGCACGGCACGGCTGTGATGGCCGTACAGAACATCGTGGAGGGGGCGTGTGAGGACAGACCCACGGAGCTGGACCTCAGGTTTGTTTGTTTGTTTGTTTGTTTGTTGTGTGAGTAAAAAGTCGATCTGCGACGTGCACGGCACGGCTGTGATGGTCGTACAGAACATCGTGGAGGGGGCATGTGAGGACAGACCAACTGAGCTGGACCTCAGGTTTGTTTGTTTGTTTTGTTAAGGTCTCCAGGAAGGTAAGGCAAGGAGATGGACATGTAGGTCTCACTAACACTAACACTTGGTGCTGAACACCATCCATACAGGCAAACACACCTGTCCTTGGTGCTGAACACCACCCACACACAGGCAAACACACCTGTCCTTGGTGCTGAACACCATCCACACACAGGCAAACACACCTGTCCTTGGTGCTGAACACCATCCACACACAGGCAAACACACCTGTCCTTGGTGCTGAACACCACCCACACACAGGCAAACACACCTGTCCTTGGTGCTGAACACCATCCACACACAGGCAAACATACCTGTCCTTGGTGCTGAACACCATCCACACACAGGCAAACACACCTGTCCTTGGTGCTGAACACCATCCACACACAGGCAAACATACCTGTCCTTGGTGCTGAACACCATCCACACACAGGTACACATGCCTGTCCTTGGTGCTGAACACCATCCATATAATTCAACAAAAGCTACTTGAAGCTTTGTTTCTTTTATTGGGATCTCCATTAGTGTTTGCGCTTTCATATTTTACTGTGAATACAGTGAACAGGGAAAGGTATCTTTTATATTTATACTGTTATGTTTGATTCTCGCCCAGTTTTTGTGTGTTGTTTTCAGCTACCTGGGTCTGCACAGCTGTCCGGACAGGATCGGGTTCGTGGGCGCCCAGCTGACGTGTCTGAACCTGTCCAACAACCGGCTCCACCAGTTGCCTGAAGACATCGGCTGTCTGCGCGGCCTGAGGGACCTGTACATACAGTACAACTGTCTGGAGGAGCTGCCTGTAAGTTTTATAGTGTTAGTGAGACCTGTACCCTACATACAGTACAACTGTCTGGAGGAGCTGCCTGTAAGTTTTATAGTGTTAGTGAGACCTGTACCCTACATACAGTACAACTGTCTGGAGGAGCTGCCTGTAAGTTTTATAGTGTTAGTGGGACCTGTACATACATCAGTACAACTGTCTGGAGGAGCTGCCTGTAAGTTTTATAGTGTTAGTAGGACCTGTACATACAGTACAACTGTCTGGAGGAGCTGCCTGTAAGTTTTATAGTGTTAGTGGACCTGTACAGTACATACAGTACAACTGTCTGGAGGAGCTGCCTGTAAGTTTTATAGTGTTAGTGGGACCTGTACAGTACATACAGTACAACTGTCTGGAGGAGCTGCCTGTAAAATGTAAATGTATTATGCTTCATTTTCATAACTTTTCGTATTTAGATTCTCGACACAACTAACACTTTGCTGTGAAGAACACACTGTAACCCTAATTTCCAAGATCTATCAGACTATCAGACACCTTCCTCAGAGCTTCTGACTGGAAGCAGAACTGCACTCAGAGGCTCTGAGGAAGGTGTCTGATAGACACTGAAAAGTAAGCAAGGTATGAGACAAGATTGGGGGCCTGCATGCCCTTTTTCGTTTGGCGTAATCAGGCCTTTTTAGTCTTCATAATTTGTAGGCAGCCTCCCAAAAAAATCAACGTATTTCATAATAGTACATTAGCCGCAGATCGTGAAGTCGTAATCAGCTCTGAGACTTCATAATTCGTAATCGGCGGCGAAACTTTGCGTAATTCGTAATCACTACCCCCCATGCAACCCCTATATCTTATAACCATAGTCACTGTTCCCTGCTGCAGATCAGTATTGGTAGCCTATATAAGATTTTATGCTAACTTTTTCTGTTGCATGCACTTCACTGTGACATGCCAGTCGATTCTCAAAAAATCTGAATCTGAATCTAAAAGTTCCTGTTCCCTGTCGCAGGTGAGTATCGGTAACCTGACCAAGCTGTGTGCATTGTCCAAAACTGTGCTTTATCCAGAACTGTGCTTTATCCTGAACCATGCTTTATCCAGAACAGTACTGGATCGTTCACACACATCAAGAACTGTGCTTTATCCAGAACCATGATCATGCAAAAGTTACTAAAAGTTCCTGTTCCCTGTTGCAGGTGAGTATCGGTAACCTGACCAAGCTGACAGACCTGGACTGTAAGAACAACTCGCTGCGGACGATCCCGCTCACCGTGGGCAACCTGACGGCGCTCACCTGCCTCAACGTCACCAACAACGTGCTGCAGCGCCTCCCGGCGGAACTCGGCAGACTTGCAGAGCTCGAGGAGATCTGTGCACAGTGAGTCGCTGACTGTTGTATACAGAACAGGGCTCTAGCCAGATCAATTTTTTTGGCGACGTCTCAGGGAGGTGCCTAATGGTACAGTATTGTGTGCAATTCGCAAGAATTCTAGGAATTGTACAGGCATTTTGTCCACAGGCATGGGGAATGTCCACAGGCATTTCTCTGACCCACATCTATGCCCACATTCCTGGAAGCCTGAAGACCTATCTGCCCCAGATGGCCCTAGTTTTGCTCGGGCTCGTTCACTATGCACTCAGGTGAGGAGTGTACTGTATCTGTCTAGACTTAAGCAAAGTCCAAGTACCAAGTCTTCCTCAAAATCATGAAATGACGGCAGTGCCATGCAAACAATAATTTTTGTCAATTTTGTCCATCAAGGTTGACGGATTGGTTTAAAAGAATTCCATCACACATCACAAAGATTGTGCTGTTGACGGAAAAACGGGTGCTAGTTAGAGACCTGATCCAGAACCGTGTGCTTTGTCCAGAAATGCGCTTTATCCAGAACCATGCTTTATCCGGAATAGCGTTCAGGCACAGTTCTGGATGTTCTACTCACATCCAGAACTGTGCTTTATCGAGAATAACACTTCAAGTTTGAAGATAAAATTGTCAAAGCCTCTTTTATAGAAAGGGTTTTTGATTTGGCCTCCCTTAACATGACATGTCTTTTCCTGCAGTTCCAACCAGCTGGTTGAGCTCCCAGATGAGTTGTGCAACCTGACAAACCTTACCGTGAGTACATGTACAGCTGTTTTATTATGTTTACCTTCGCAGAAGGAAATATATTGTTTTTGCTCTGTTTCTTCCTCTTCTTCTTCTTTTTATTCTCCAAACAAACAAAGTCAATGACCTGGACTAGACGTCTGTCACCATGGTAACTAGTATTGTAGCAGACTGTGGTGTCGGTGTTGGTTTACTTTATGTATCAGGACAGAGGTAGAGTCATGATTGGCATGTAAATATGCATTAAAAGTAAACCTTGTGTTCCCCTGCTCCCCACTAGGAGCTGTACCTGGGAGAGAACCGTCTGCAGCAGCTGCCGCGCGACATCGGGCGTCTGGTGCGGCTGGAGGAACTGGACGTGTCCTCGTGTGAACTCACTCACCTGCCCGACTCCCTGTCCAGGTGTACAGCCCTCGTCAGGCTCTGGCTGTCTAACAACAGGTAACAAACATCTTACAGGTAACAAACATCTTACAGGTAACAAACGTCTTACAGGTAACAAACGTCTTACAGGTAACAAACATCTTACAGGTAACAAACATCTTACAGGTAACAAACATCTTACAGGTAACAAGCATCTTACAGGTAACAAACATCTTACAGGTAACAAACGTCTTACAGGTAACAAACATCTTACAGGTAACAAACATCTTACAGGTAACAAACATCTTACAGGTAACAAACGTCTTACAGGTAACAAACATCTTATACGTAACAAACGTCTTCTAACTCACCTGCCCGACTCCCTATCCAGGTGTACAGCCCTCGTCAGGCTCTGACTGTCTAATAACAGAGGGCCTGCAGGGGGGGGTTCCGACAACGCTCTACGCTAAATTCGGAAACCTCTCGATTACGTTTTACAATAAATTCCAAGTGGCTATTACGTAGAATTAAAACGGCCGATTACGCTCTACGGAAAAGGGCTTACGGAAAAGTTTTCTTTTTATACAACCAGTAATGTCTCACATTGTGTAAAAAGAAAACACCGTACATGTTCTATCAACCTGATGAAACTAGTCTCGGATGTGCACACCAGGATAGCCTCCATGCCAGACTATTTCCAGGGCCGACACAGGCCAATTTTTCCACTAAAGTGCCAACATGCCCCCAAGGAAATTATACCACATCCCCCCTCAGGTAGGCCCAGGCATGCTGGCTAACTCTCGGCATCTCATGTTGTGGGTCTGACATCCAGGCTAATACCTGAGAAGTGCTAGACTAGATATCTTAACATAACCATAACAACTGAAAGAAAGCACATGTATTAACTATTGTGAAATAAAGACTAAGCTTTAACTTCCAACGCTTAGATTACAGAATTGGGACTTACCCAAATTTTCGGTTGACTCCATCAACCTTGTTCACGGTACTACGGTCACGTGTCTCTGACGTCACGTTCCAAGAGTAGACGGGTCCATTCCGTGAACAAGGTTGATGGAGTCAACCGAAAATTTGGGTAAGTCCCAATTCTGTAATTTAAGTGTTGGAAGTTAAAGCTTAGTCTTTATTTCATAATGACTTGTACCAACACAGATGAACTTTCATGCAATGCACATGTATGTTTGTGTTGTTTTTTCTCCCTCCAGACTGCGTTACCTGCCTGACCAGCTGGGCCGGCTGCACCATCTGAAGGAGCTTCACGTCAGGAACAACGACATCATGTACTTCCCAGCATCCCTCGCCTACCTGCAGCTCTACACCTTCTCGGGTAAGGAAGCTCCTGCATCTTTTAGACTTGGAAGTTTTTTATTGATAAGACACACACACGCATGCACACACTCATGCATGCACACACACATGCATGCACACACTTTCCAGTTTAATGTCAGTCCCCGTCTCCCGGGGGTTAGAAGTACTTCCCAGCCTCCCTCGCCTACCTGCAGCTCTACACCTTCTCGGGTAAGGAAATATTTTTTTGAGTTGGTTGGAAGTTTTATTATTGACACTAAATCCAGTTTAATGTCAGTTGTTCCTTGTCCCCCAAGGGTTAGAAGTGCTTGCATGTTGAGGCTTGATGGCAGCCTGCCTCTCGCCTCTATTCTGTGGGTTCCTGCCGTGTAAGATGAGGTGGTGGAAATCCTTCCTTACGTTGTCAACCCATCTCTTCCTTGTACGCCCTCGCAGGTTTTGGCCTTCCACATTTAGTATGATGATTTTCTTTCTTTCTTTCTATAAATACTGAGCAAAACCCTATCTTGGGTATCTCGCTCAGGGTGCGCGGCTATTGCGGCCGGTGGGGTGCGGTGAAGAAAGTGCAAGAAAACAAACAAACGAACATAAATTTTGTGAATTTTGTGACTGGCCGCAATAAGCAATCCCGACTTACATCTGTGGGACGGGGTGGCCCAAGTGCAGGGCCAACCCCGTCTTGAATGTGTCGACAGATAGTTGTGTCACTAAGTGTTGTGGTAATGCGTTCCATTCTATTATAGTTCTTGGGAAATAACTGGCTCTGAAGATGTTTGTTTTGCAACTGAGAGTTGTGTATCTAAGGGGGTGGCCCCTTGTAATGTTAGTGTTCCTTGTAATGTAATGGTGTATTGGTATGGAGACTAGATTGTGCACTGCTTTGAAGAATAGGACTAATCGTGTTTGTTGTCTTCTTTGTTGGAGTGTAGGCCATCCGAGCATGTGTTGGAGGTGTGTAACACTGGTGGTATTCCTGTAGTCATTACACACAAACCTGGCTGCCCTCTTCTGTACAGCCTCTAGCTTGTCTTCTAGCACACTGGATTTGGCATCTTGCCGTCTCTGGGGATCCCAGAATACAGAGGCATATTCTAGCCTAGGTCTGACTAGAGAAGTATAGGCTCGCGCCCTTACCTCTTTTGATGCCCCCCTGATATTCCTCCTGAGAAACCCCAAAGTACTGCTGGCCTTGGCCTTGCCTGCCATTTTCTAAGGCCACTTCTCGAAACCTACCTTATAAACCATGTATCATCATCATCGGCCATGTGGTCCAGGAGAAGCATCAAAAATGTTTCCATGGTTCCAGTTTAGACACATCTGTATACACATGATCACTTTCAGCAATATTGACGTTCTGTAAAATTAATGGAAGATAAAAATTGAACGTGTAAAAATGTATTGTATCGCAAATAAAAATGTATTGTATTGCAAATACATACATGTATTAATCTGTCTTTTGTACCTTTCCTCCAGCCAACCAGAACCCCCTGATAGAGGAGTGGGATAACCGGTTGACCTCTGCCCTGATCAGAGTGCCCTCTGACCCCTTGCCCAGTTTGCTGGAGCTGGCTGCCCGCACCGTGGCCAGACAGAACATCACATGGGGGAAGGGGGACCTGCCTCTGGACTTGGAAGGTGACTGTAAGGCCACAGCATATAAATTCTATGGATGACATCCTCCGCTGATTCCAAATCTAATGCAAGCGGGCGAAAAAAAACAAGGCGGGCCCAAAAAACAAGGTTCCTACAATTCAAAATTTTGACTCAATCATTGTACAAATGGTTTTGATTCAGTGGGAACATCACATATACACAGCCAGCATCACATATCACTGCATCAAAGTAAGGAACAAAACATTAAATCAGAGCCTTTTCTTGTCTCCTCTCTTCATAGTTACATGTATCTGCCATCCACATTCCGGCATTGCAACAGACATCTTTGCCCATTTTAGGCATGTTGACCACTGTCAGAAGGCAACAAAATTTTTTTTTCCAAAATCAGGCGAAAATTAATGCGCGCACTAATGTCATCCATAAAATTTACTTGCTGTGGCCTAATTTCTGTATCAGAAGTATTTGACATTCACATCATGCTATACTTTTTTTTTCACAGTACTTTTATGTTTGCGGTTTTTGTGATTACTTGTCTGTACTATTCTTGTTCTAACACGAGAAGGGAACTCACCATCAATTTCCTGTCGATCTCGTCAACCTTCATCAGATGTGTGAGTAATGGTGAGTTTCCTTCTTGTGTTGGAACAAAGCTTGAACTTTACAACTAGTATGGATTTTTTTTTTAAAGTTCACAGTCTGATGTAGAACATTTAAATGGATTCTACAACACAGATGAGCTTTCATTCCAACGTATAATGCAGTTAAAACAGTGATCGTGCAATTAACTCTGACATTTAAAGAGTGAAAAGCTTGTGTGCTCCTACCCTATGTATAGCCAGCCTGGGGGCCTGGCCAGAGGAGGGGCTGCCAGAAGCGTGATGTAGCTAGACTAACATTCCTGTTCCTCTGTCCCCAGTGCTGCTGCAGTGCAGGAAGCAGTGCTCCAGCTGTGAGGGCCCCTTCTTCTCCTACTTCAGCTCACAGGTGTTCTTCAGTAACGTGGGGATGTTCCACAGGGTGCCCCTATACCAGCAGGTCTGCTCTCCCTATGTCAATGCCCACTGCCAACCTGTACATGCCAGATAGGGGGCCTCGTTGCAACGGGCACCACTGGAGCCATCACTGTCCCACTGAGAAACGTGATGCTGTAGGTGAAAATAACAGAGAAACAGAGCACTGCATGTCCCCTGGAGATCATGCTAAGCCCTAGCTTTACTAGCCTGGGTGCTGGACTGTCTCCATAGCCCACACAGGCCAGCTCCTCAGCTCCAGGGCCTAGCCTGGGTGCCAGACTGTCTCCGTGGCCCACACAGGCCAACTCTTTGGCTCTGTGGGCAACATACACCCAAGGAAATTATACCACAGCCCTTTCATCCACAGCACCCTGGCTAACTCTCGGCCTAGCTAGAATGATATGGGTCTGGCATCCAGGCATAAAGTCACCACCAATAATGACTTTGGTTGTCAACCCCAAACAGGCAAAGTCATCTGGTCTGGTTTGATGATGGTGTGAATAATCTTGCATCCAGACGGGCTACCTTCTCACTGGAGCCCCCGTTCTGTGTACATTTGTACTTCAAACTGACATCTTCATATTTGTATTTCGTCGCCATTTTGTGAAAACCAAAGCGTTCAGTTGACATGGCCCAACCAAAGAAACAACAGGATGTGAAGATAAAGGTGGTCAGCCTACCAAAATATGTCCTTTTAGAATCGTTTGGCTGGTACCAAATTGTTCAAAAGAAATTCAAATTTTCCTTGTCATTTTGTGAAAACCAAGGCATTCTGTTGACGTGGCCCAACAAAAAAACAGGATGTGAAGATAAGGTGGTCAACTTACCAAGGAATTGTTTGGCTGGTACCAAATTGTTAAAAAGGAATTCAAATTTTCCTTGTAATTTTGTGGGAAACAAAGAGGGCTTTTGGTGTGGCCCAACCAAAAAACAACAAGATGTGAGGATGAGGTGTTCAGCCTACCAAGATATGTCCTTTTGGCTGGTACCAAATTGTTAAAAACAAATTCAAATTTTCATTGTTATTTTGTGAAAAACAAAGATTAGAGGGCTTTTGGTGTGGCCCAACCAAAATGGAAACAACAGGATGTGAGGATGAGGTGGTGACCATCAAACATGGTCCCTGTTTCTTGGAAAGGCCGAGGCTGATGGACACCTGCCAACTTGTAGTCGCAAACTCCAGTTGTCAGTCAACACCTGGCACAACATTGTATGCACGAGATGATGAGGAAAACAGCCTGTGCACCATCCTGTATGCATACTTATATCCCTGTAAAATTTTGTAGGAAGCGAGTATGGGAGCCACAGTATATACATTTATATCATACCCGGGACGCGATAACGTTCGATAACGGGTTCCGGACCGGGCCGTACTTTACGGTACGGCCCGGAACCCGTTATCGAACGCTTCTATGGCTTCCATAAAACGATTCGAAAGCGTTTCACCCTAACCGCGTGTGTCCCTTTCGAAAATTCGAATACAGAATCCGGACGTTGGAATTGATGTTGTTGCATTTTAGGGTTCAGTGGCACCAACTTTTGGCTCATCTTGCATTGAAAGGCGTGTTTTCTTGGGTGGGTATGACATAAATAAAATACAACACGGTGTATTCCACATCGCCCTTGGTCCCGGCGCCGTCGGGCGATCCAACCCGCGGTCGGGCCGATACCTCGGGCGATGCGGAATACACCGTGTTGTATGTACACGGATGGCACCTGGGCTGTTGTTGAAGCACTGTTTGAGCTTTTTGTTAAGGTTCAGATCATGTTTCTCCAGTATACGTTCACAGCACATTCAAGTCATTCATTTGTAAGTAGATCAACAGTATTGTAAGAAAAAGACAAGAAATTGAATAAGAAAAGAGCAATAATTGTGACATCAGCTAAAATTATGAACTGCATGTATGGAGAGAGTACGGGTTAAGTCATTTCTATCAGACCAGATTTCATCATTATGAGAGAGGGCTGCCTGGTAGATGGGCATAGATGATTCCAGCTTCAACTCAGAGGTTGGCTTTTACTTTGAGGACAGTAAGCTTTTTTTAAAAAAAATGGGGAAGATTACTTGCTAGAGTTGCCAGTTTGACATCTTTATTCTCAGATTGGTCAAGGTAAGGAGTTGTCTTTCTCCAAATGAATGTTGCATATGACTCCTTAGTCAAAGTCTTGTGTATAAAGACTAAGAACCTATCTTCTCTGAAATCATTTCTGTATAGTATTACATAATGTATGTGATAGACGTTTTATTGCAGAAGCCTTTTGTCATTGTTATCTGTAAGTAGCATGGATACTGTAAGTTGTAACAGTTTGTTTAGGTCTAAAAGCTGCCACCAGTGAGGGAACGTAAACTAACCGGGCTGACACGTGGGCTAACTTGTAAGACAGCCTGGATCTGATGTGTAAATATTCCTCTCTCAGAGGTTTAGGAATGTTTCCACACTTCCCTGGTGTTAAGTGTGTTTTGAAACCGATCTGTTTGGGGTAGGAGAGCCTTCAGGGGGAGCAGTAGTGAGGATGGCCAGTGATGCTGATGTTGGTTCTGTTGTGATGACAAACACACCCTCATCACTGCATACCTGTAGTAAGCCCTCCCACAGTACTGGCATGGGGGAGGGGGGTCACTAGCATGTCGGCAGAACGTACTCCACCTGCACAAAACCCTAATTTTTCACGGTTTTCGTTGGCTTTTTTGGTCAACCTTGCATCAGAATTTCGCCTGTTACAGACGATATCTTTTTCGACATAACATTTGGAAACTACAGACGGGATGTTAACCTTATATACGCGAATACGACCTTATATGAGACGTTCTGCCAAAGTGCTATGCACAATACATTACAGGTTTCATGCAGGCGCAGTATGTTCTGCCAACATGCTAGAGTCACTTTTACTCAGCTAGAATCAAAGCGATCCTTATTTTACTGCTGAATTCTAGTCAGAATGTGAAAGCAGGAGTTTCTTGATCTTTTGCAATTTTTTTGTAAATATAATTCAACAGTGTTGTGTGCAATACATATTTATGATTTAATCAAGGACATTCATTATGATAGTCCACATTAGAACTAATTTTTTTTATTTGTCAATTCAAGTGTGAGATGTCCATGTTTTTGAAATTGAAGATTCAGTAGTGACACCTGTATGGTGTAGATGTGGATTGTTCCACAATAAGCTATGTGGCAAGTTTAACACCTTGAGATATTTTCCACATTTGTAGACTTTTGAGACATATAGATTCTCTTTTGTACCACCATATGCCCAGACAAGAAGCCTTTCTTAGCATGGCGTCTACTTGTTCAATAGCTGTTTGAAACTACAAATTTAGTATTTCTCTGTTTCTGGCTTTTATAACTGTAGGGGATAGCACTTGTGTCCTTTCTGTGGTAGCCCTTTGGCATCATGTTTGCAGTGACAGACATCAAAGAGAGATAACCACAGTCCTGTTCTGGATGTGTAGAAAAATTCTCTCCATTCTCCTTTAGGCCATGTTGATTTGATTATATGGATGACATCCTCCGGGAGCCCAAAAATTGATGCGCGCGTGCGAATAAAAAAAAAGTTTTGCAAAAAAAAATTTTCATTTTGAAATGTACGCGGTCATGAGGGTTGAACAAATGGGACAGAATATGGTTTGGCGAATAATCTAGTCTTCAAGTTCATTTCTTTACAATTTCATCTTTTTTCGTCTGATTTTGGCATTCTACGACATTAGTATAATTTTTATTTATTATTTTTTGTAACTTACGGTATATTTTTGCTCATTTTGCAACTGTTTTGTACGGTTTACAGTATGGTTGAAAACTCTTTTTTTTTTGGGAAACGGCCAAAAATCCATGCGCGCGCGGATGTCATCCATATAATCAAATCAACATGGCTTTATTTTGTGGAACAGCCCTGTTTGTGCAATAGTAATGAATGATTGAAGTGTCTGGCTGCCATGTTGATTTTTTTATTGCACTGTGTTTCTTATTGATGTTCACTTTTCTGGCTATATTGATAGTGTAAGGTCACTGTAATAAAGCAATTGATTTAGAACAAAAAAGTAACATAAAGTCAGAGTCATTGATAGTAGGTGTTTGTAGAGTTGGATCTTAAGTCCATCCCAAGAACACGCTACTAAGTATGTATTGTGTATATAGACATCTGTACAATAAGATACATGTATAAACAGTATTAAAACCCAAGATTCATGTGAAATTCTTGTGACTTTATATGTTATAAGTATAATTTTACCAGTGATATGTTGGTTGCAGGATTTCTGAAGATAATTTTAATCCAGACTTTGTTGTCATATGCTGTGTTTACCCAATTGTCATTTTTTGTTACTTGGATTTTTTTAATTTCGAAAATAGCTACATAAGAGTCTCAGTTGAGGAATGTATGTGTCTGTACTTAATGCAGTACTAACGTCACCAATTGTACATGGACACACTGTGTGTCAGAGTTGCATTTTTGTTTGTTTTCTATTTAATCCCAGAAACAGGTACTTTTTACTGATTTAATTTTTATTGTTGTCATACAGGCTGAATTGTTGCAAGTTGACTTCTCATCATATTCTGGCTACTTTTATACACAGTTGTGATGACATATTCTGTGGCTATTTCACCGTAATAAATTATTGTAAGGTATCGCAAATGTGTCGCCTTTTCTACTTTAACCCACGCTGTATTCCAAACAAATCAGTGACGACAAACAAAGCAAAGAAAGTTGTTTCGTCCATGATTAAAGGAAGCGCTAATAGACCCATGCATTACACAAATTGCATCCAGGTGTGTTCCAACAAAATGAAATGCCATATACCAAACCTCAATCAACATCGTGCAGAAATCAGAAGATACGTGTACTTTTGCCTCCTATAGTATAGATGCACCTATTTGGGGGGTCGGGGGGCATGCTCCCCCGGAAAATTTTGAAATATGAACCTTCTAAAATGGAATTTCGTGGGATTTCCAAAAAAAAATCAGAGATAAATCTTTATTCAATGACAAAGGGAGCAGTTTTTCTACGATTCCAGTCCACCTTTCAAGAAAAATCTTGGACCTTTCTTTACATAAAAAGTGAAAAGTGGACCAAAAAGTGGACCTTTACGTAAAAAGTGGACCAAAAAGTGGACCTTTACGTAAAAAGTGGACCAAACAGTGTACCTTTACATAAAAAGCGGACCAAAAAGTGGACCTTTGAGCCTTGTGGGGGGTAGCCCCCCTGGCTACGTGCATGAACCTGCGGTACCAGTCGCAGATGAAACCGACCGCAGCTCGCAGCCAGGTGGGGTGTTATCTCTCCATTTGACCGATTTCAGTACAGTGTGTGTGTGTGTGTGGGGGGGGGGTTATAGGCACTACCAACTGACCCGGCCGATTGGTCTAGACTTTTAGCCGAGACTTTAGAGCGTCGGGGTTTTGAACTGGTGCCCGGGTTTGTCGTGGGTTCGAACCCCGGCCCGGGGCCAGGAGTGTCTTTCTGTTTCTACTCTCCTAATTCTTATACTCTTTCCGGCCGCTTCTGAAGCACTAGCAGAGGCTATTACTGACAGCTCAAGCTTGTGGTGCCATCCGCAGAAGAGACCAACCGCAGACCCCAGCCAGGTGCGGTGACGGACTCATGCCCGTAGCCAGGGGGGCTCGGGAGGTTCGGAAGAACCCCCCACAAGGCTCAAAGGTCCACTTTTTTGGTCCACTTTTTATGTAAAGGTCCAAAATGGGCTGGAATCGTAGACAAACTGCTCCCTTTGTCATTAAATAAAAATTTATCTGATTTTTTCTTGGAAATCCTCTCAAAAACGCACGAAATGCC